CTGTACCTCCTCTGTCTGAGATTACAATGCACACCACCACCCCCTGTCTGTGTGGGACTGGGGATCAAACTCAGGGCTCCATGAACGCCAGGAACCACCCTGCCCACGGAGCCACATCTCCAGCCCCCTAGCGTTTGTTTCTACATGAAGTGACGTTGTCGTCAGGACACACACACAGCCAGGCTTGTCTGCCCTGATGACCGCAGGGGTGTATCACTCTGCCAGCCTCTGGGGTCTCTAAGTGAGCACCCCTGCCTTGAATGCTAGCTGCTGCTTTGGGGCTTAGGTGTCAGACAGAGATGCCTCAGGGTAGCCAAAGTCTTGGGCATCCTAGATGGCAGGTGAGGGGTTCACTTGTGTCCAAAACCTGCTCCTTATTGACCCATTGTGTTTTAAGAGGCTCGAAATTCTTAACAATCCATTCTTTCATGTCCTGTGTAAGTTAGTCTGTGGTGGCCATGGCTCAGAGTTCGGCGCTCAACCGGCTCTTCAGTGTGCCACTCAGTGACATGTCTCGACATCATTGCTCTCATGAGGGTTCTCCAGTCTGAGTCAGAACATTGTAGCCTCCTCCCCTCCCAGAGCCTCTTCAGCTACCTTCCAGAACTTTACAGAGTGTGTATAAACACGTCATCTGACCATTCCCCACAAGTTTGTCACCACGAGGCCATTAAATCCTCCAAAAATGCAAGGGGAAGCACCTGCTCCCGGTGAGTGACTGTGCCTCGGAACACTGCGGGTGAGCGCGTGCGTGAGTGTACGCGCGCAGGCATGTGTACCTGTGTGTGCCCCTACATGGTATGCTAGTAGCTATACCAACTACATGTCATCGTTGAATGGCAGGTGACACTCCTCTGTGGTGGGTGTGTCACACGTGTCTGGACACTGATTACTGAGGAGCGTGTGACCAGGTGACCGGTCCCGAGTAACACCTAGGTCCCTCCACTGTGTGGTGGCTGCAGCTCCTTCTCCTTTATTCCTTGCCTGGGGTCTCGTGAAGACCCACGGTGGAGAGCAGGTCTGGAGAGGACAAAGTGGAGGATGGAGATGAGGCTCAGAGCACTGGTCCCTCCTCCTTGGTCTCATGCCAGCCCCACTGGGAGACCATGGGAAGCTGCTGCCTGCATTTAAAGGTCAAAGTTCGTTGAGGTTTCTTTTCCGTGTTTTCCTCACAGAGAAAATGGGATTGCTTACTGACTCGTGATATGGTAGGAGTGCAGAAACTCCTTAGTACCCAGACTCAACTCTTCTCTCTCCACTGTCTTCGGCTGTGAGCATTTGTCGGAGGCTGACTGAGGATGGGCTAGCTTCCTGTGGGTTCAACAACAGTCACAGAAATCAGAGACATTCCCACCAGACTTTTATCTTACAGGGTTAAGGCACTCGCTGGCTGTTCTGAAAGGCCAGAGGGAACGGCTCCCTGCTCGCCTGGCTCCAGGTGGCACCATTGTCTTCCTGGCTTGTGTCTGTGTCACCACCATTTCTCCTGCACGGTCAGATGCATGGTCACGGGTTTTCCCCGTGACAAGGACACACTCACCAGTGTAGGCCCACACTAGTCCACTGTGATCCCCTAACTTCCTTACCTCTGTGAAAGGCCTGACTTCCCCATATCAGAATCTCAGACACCAAAAGTTAGAACATAGACAAATATTTTCAGGTACATGAAACACAGAAGGGAGTGAAGTTCAGCAGCTAACAGAGCCGGGGAGAACTTGGGGGAGGTAACAGATGCCAAAGACCCTAGGAATAAAGTTTGTTGAAAAACAAAAAAGGGGTAAGACTCGTTATCGTTACCAAGTGAAGCAGGAAATATAATGGATGTGACTTACCGGTAGGAAGCTTGGTGTGTCGGCTAGCGCCAGCCCCAGCAGTCACCATGGTGTTGAGAATGTAGGTTAACCGCATAGACAGCATCAGTTGTGGGATAGTCGTTGTGGGGAGGCTCGCAGGTGTGCTTTACCCTTGATGTACTACATACCGTGAGCGCCCAGAGCCTTGGCTGTGCTTCTCATCCGTCTCAGCCACGGCCAGCCAGATGCTGTAGTTAGGTCCTCCGTAAATGAGCCGCCCGACTGCTGTGAGCTGTTAGCATCCCGCCACCCTGCAGGTGTCACCGCCGTCCCAGGGCACGTGCACGTTCCTGTCATCACCAAGGGAGCACTGCAGGTCTGAATCTGACTTTAGGGTCACACATGCATGCGAGAAGCCCGTCTTCATCGCATGCATCAACTTGGGTTCCCACTACCAAGAGATCTTGTGTGTGTGTGTGGGGGGGGGGGAATTCCAGGGTCAGGAAATATCAGTTCATTTACCAGCAGTCACTCAGACGCAGCCAAGATGCTGGGGTCCACCTCTGCTTCTACAGTCTAGTTGGCTTCTCTAGACAGCAGCCCGTACCTTCTGAAGCTGGGGTACATGGGTGACTAACCTAACCATGTAAAGGTTGGGTGGCCTTTGGGAGGCGGGAGAAGTTCTTGGACCTGCTCTCTGGCCTCCCTGATTCAGCTCACCCACAGTGAACACTGCTGGGGCACGGGAAGAGAAGGGGAGCCAGGCAACAACATCCCACTCCCTTCCCCCTCTCCCACCGAGCCCAAGAAACATGGAGCCAAGCTGAAAGCAGCTACGGTCACCAGGGGCTGGCGTGCCAGGGAGACGTCCACCTCTACTCCATCTCTTGTTTAACAGAGCAGCAGTTTCTTTGTGCCAGGCAAATTCTGAGCACTTTGCGTGGATGAATTCTGCTAATTCTTAATTATAAACACCATGCCAAGCAATGTTAGCATTTCTGTTCTTTTATGGAAAAAAAACACTGAGGCACGGAGAGGTTAAATATGTGCTCAAGGTGGCGTGGCTAATACACAAGTCCGTAGACACGCAGCGTCTGCTCACAGGATTTGTTATCTCAATTGTTGTCTACTGCCTGACCCCATCCCTGCGAGGAAAAAGGAAACTGTGTGTCTGTCATGGGCTGAAGGCTTGGGAAAGGAGGAGCAGACCTGGGAAGCAGTGCTTGTGAAATAATCTGAAACACAGGAGGGCAGATGACAATCACACAGGGGCCATAGGCATCAATGGTGCTGGGTCTGGAGTGGTAGCCGCCTGTTCTCTCAGCCGCAGGAGCTTCCCTGCCCGTAGGTGCTGTGGCAGGGTTGGTCCAGCACCAGTTAGGATTAAAGGTGCCATATGGGAAGGAGCAGAAGGGTCTCCAGGGCCTCCCAACAGAGCCATCATTGTGATTGCACACTAAACAGTTAAAGTCAAAGACAAAAGTTCAAAAGCCAAGCATGGGGGTGAACTTCTGTTGTCTGATGTTTGGGAGGCAGAGGTGAGGGAATGGCCACAGGTTTAAGACCTGCCTACGAGTTCTAGACTAACCATGACTGTATAGCAAAACTCTGTCTCAAAATAATAATAATAATAATATAATGTAATAGTGCACCTGTTTGTTATCTCAGTGCTGGAAAAGGTGGCCCAGTGGATCCCTACGGCTTGCTGGCCACCATGGCCAGCCTAATTGGGAGGTTTCCAGCCAGTGACAAACACTATCTCAAGGAATGAGGTAGATGGTTCCTGAGAAAGGACACCCCAAGGTGACCTCTGAGCCTTCACACACGTACATATATACCCACACAGACACATGCAAAATAAAATCAAACAATTAATATAATAAATCTTATATCCATGCTTGCATCAAGAGGATCAACAGGATCCCAAAGAGCAGGCAGGGGACACACACACACACACACACACACACACACACACATCCCATCATCCCCGGAGTACCAGGGCTCCTAGTCAGGGGCATCCCAGCCCTCCCACAGTGGTCTCTTCCCTACCTCACAGGAGCACAAGACATCACTGACTTAGCTTTGGTACTGTCCCCGGAGTCCTGATAAGCTTCTGATTAGCCTTACCTAGAATTCAGAGCTCTGTAAGCCATTTGAAATCTAAGAGTGCCCACACAGGCAACCCGTCTGCAGATAGGAATTGCCTGCCTGGCTACTGTATTTTATCCAGGCTGACGCTGGCACCCTCTCATGTGAAACTGTCCACTCAAACCCAGCACACATGTGTGTGATTAGGCAGAGCAATGACCCTGAGCCATCTCGCCTGAATCTCTAACCCTGAGCTGAGCCAGGTCTTCCACTTGAAGACAGTACATTAAGATCATTTTGCTGCCAAAAATGTATCTGTATGCGTCTAACTGTGTTTGTTGGTGTGTTGTTTTTCCAGGATGGTGAGAGTCACCGAGGAGAGTTTGAAGAAAAGAGAAGCGTGGGCAAACTTTCTCAGACAGCATCAGAAGACAGTGATGTGTTTGGTATGTAGAGGGGACAGCCCCCTCTCGTGCTTGGACTGTGAGCACACGCATTATCACTGGGGAATCCCCATCCTTCTCTTTAGATTTTTGTTTTTCTTGCTGTTTCTGGTTTTGTTTTGTTTGGTCTTCCTGTATGTATGTGTATTCCCATCTGTGAATACACGCTTGCATGTGACACGAGGCATGTGTGCCAGTCAAGGACAATCCCGCCCCCCACCTTGAACAGAAACAAGAAGAAGCTTGTTCACTGCTGCGTAGCCCAGGATAACTGGTCTATGAACGTCTGATGGCCGACACCACCTCCCTCCCCTTCTCTTGGTACTGGAGTTACATATGTGCACTGTTGCATGTGGTTTTACATGGATTCTAGGGACCAAGCTCAGGTTCTCACCTTTATGCAGCAAGTCATTTACCCAGCGGATTATATTCCCAACCTCCATCTTCATTAAACATCTGTGCAGTGGTGCATCGAACAGTACGTGACTCCTTACTGCCCTCCTGCAGACCTTTCCCATGGGACCCAGGGTTCTGTTTTATTTTGTGTTCATGTTTGCTCTCTGTACCCCTAAGTCAGTCTCTCTCTCTCTCTCTCTCTCTCTCTCTCTCTCTCTCTCTCTCTCTCGCCATCAGCAGGCCCCCACAATGTCATAACAATGCTGAGGAGGAAGTAAGCTTGCCAAAGTCGGGCACTGCTGTCCTTGGGCTGGCTGCAGACGGTGACTTGGCTGTTGTTGGGAATAATTGTGGTATATGAAATGCTACCTTCCTGTTGCCTCATGAATACACACTGTCCTGCATGTGGGTTTTCTCTTCCTTCCTACTTCTCAGAGGAACAAACACGCTCATCTGATTTTGGTGGAATGTGGTTGAGCTATCTTTTCCAAGACTTTTCTCCAACATGGGCTCCCACAGATGGCCTGTTCTTAGGGGCACTGGGGGCTTCTTTCTTTCCCTTAGGGAGATAAGAGAAGACAAGTGTGGTTGAGAGTGATAAGAGTCCACTGTCCCAAGAGGAAACAGCAGCCAGGTTCTGCCACTGCAGGAATCATAACCTGTCGCAACGCCTAGGTCTCAGTTGCTGGAGGCCAGCCACCCTTGGACACTCCCTAATCTGGCCTCGCCTTGCTTCTGCAAAGGCCTTTCTTCATACTTCTCTCACTAGGCAGTGCCATCTACCCTGGGGTTTTGTTATTGTTGGTTTTGGTTAACTTGGTTTCTTCAAGATTGGTTCCTTCTGTGTTTTTCCTTCTTGAGGGAACACCTGCAGTTGAAAAGCCTCTGGGAACAGTGCGACCCTAAGACTGAAACCCAAGGCTGTGAGATGGTCGTGTGGCAGCAGGGGCCAGCAGGGGAGGTGTGGGCCAGCAGGGGCAGTAGGGGCCAGCAGGGGAGGTAGGGGCCAGCAGGAGAGGTGTGGGCCAGAAGGGGAGGTAGGGGCCAGCAGGAGAGGTGTGGGCCAGCAGGGGAGGTGAGGGCCAGCAGGGGAGGTGTGGGCCAGC